ATTTATAGATAGATAGAGGGGGGGGGGGTTATCTGTTCCATATATTGGAAATAATATAAATTATGTTCATATTCGGCCAAATAGGTTTCCACAATAGTATTTGATACAGGAGATTAATTTTTACACATCTTATGATAAAAGAAAAAACAAAGTTTTTAAATTGACAAAATAAAACTGTTTTTCAGAACACTTTATGTCAACTAAAAGATAAATGTGTTATTTTTTTCTTTTTTAATGATCTATTTTTCCAACATGATTCAGCATTTTTGTAAGCAAAATAAAATATGTTCTAATCTTTAACAGCTTCTAAGTTCTAACATAAAAAAGAGTAAAAATCAGTTTTAGAAATTTGAAAAACTAGAGGCTTTGTCCCTGTTGTCCTCTAAAAGGACTCGAGAATCCATGTCCTCCGTCTGCTGTAAAGGTTGTCCTGGTCCCTGTGTCCTGCTGGAAGGAGGACGACTGGAAGGTTGAGTAATATTGTCCTTGCCCTAGTCCTGTTTGAAAGGTAGATGTAGGACACCCTATAAATATATAGTTTTAATAGACCAGGTGAGCAATACAAATACAAATCTTTTATGAATATCATGTGAATGAATTTAGATAGTTCTATATTTGATTCACAAAGGCAACAGAACTATGAGGTTTTTGCGTTATTTTCTTTAATTTTTGTGTTTTTTAATTTGTGTGTGTTTCTTTCTTCAATATATTCGTAGACTGTAAAGTGTAACTGTAGAATCATTCAAAAACAGTTTATAATAAATACCCTGTATATTGAATTTTGACTCAACAGAAACATAATTTGTGTGTGTTTCTTTCTTCAATATATTCGTAGACTGTAGAGTGTAGACTGTAGAATCATTCAAAAACAGTTTATAATAAATACCCTGTATATTGAATTTTGACTCAACAGAAACATAATTTCCCAAAATTATAATGTTTTTTTTTATTTTCCTAAATGTTTATATTTTCAAGCATTCATCAATGTTTTTACTAAATTTTTGGCAAAATTCTTTCCTTTCAAGTTAGTACCAGGAATTTAATAAAAATCTTTCATTTTTAACTTTCCAGAAATTCAATTTTCGGGTGAAACCAAGTTTAAAAAAACATGATCTAGAAGTTAAAGATTTTGAGAAGAAATTATCTTAAAAACTAAAAATGAAAGAAATATTGATAAACTTAACCTATTAACTCATATACAGTGATAGCCAGACAACTGTAGAATAGGAAGGCGACATTACAGCAATATTGAAGTGCATGTTGTTACAAAGCAAATAATTTTATTAGCAAGTTATTAAACTACTTATTATGTGAAATGGGTCTCTTTACACATCACAATTGCTGTGTCTCAGGTTAATTGAACTATTTAAAGACATAACATCAGTCTTAAAGTTGAGAACTATTCCAGAGTTTTCTGGTTATAACTGTACATATATTTAATTTTACGATTTTTATTGTACTTGCGCGCTTGTATAGTACAATGTACATATTGTTGCAATATACACAAGGTATTTTCGAAAAAGTGTTATTTTTCATTTCGTTAAGATATAGATAAATATCCAGAAAAAAAGACAGAAAATCGTCCAGTACTTCTTTAAAAATATACATTTGCGAAACTATTTTTAAAAAAATGGTTAATTCTTCAAAAAGACGTAAAAACGCTGTGTTTTCTCTAAAAATACTGTGTTGACCAGAATTGAGGTACTTTTGAAAAGCTTACCAATAGAAAGCCAATGTGACCAGTCATGGAGGAAACTAAGATCTTTTTTATCTTAAGTAGTTTTTAATATGAAAACTTTGCTTCACTTTATGTGTTTAATAAAAAAAAAATACCATGTTTCTTGGTGTTGAGAGAAGACTGCGGCTTAAAGTCTTTTTGTAGGACTATCCATAATTTTGAAACAGTTTCGCAAAAGTATGGTTTTGAAGAAGTACTGGACGATTCTTTATCCTTTTTTTGTAGATTTTTTTCTATCTCTTAACGAATCGAAAAATAACACTTTTTCAAAATCACCCTGTATAATGTATATACAATATACAATATACATCTGAAGATAAATTTCTAAACTTGCGTTGTACAGTACACTTTGTATATATTGCTGTTCTAGCATATGCAGAACATCAATTTACAGTATATTTTGATATTCCTGTTCTTGCACATACAGTGCACCAATTTCTAATACATTTTGCATATCCGGAATATAAATTTAAATTTGTACATTATGTACATTATGTACAAACTATACCTGAGTGTGGCGGATAGTTGAAGTTAGACATCTTGTACAAACTATACCTGAGTGTGGCGGATAGTTGAAGTTAGACATCTCTATCCTTTCCTCACCCAGCCATTCATTACCACCAGTCTAGATAGATAGATACATAGAGGATTTTCAAAAATTTTTTTTTTTCAGAATTAAAAACCTCTAAAACACAAATTTTTAAAACTTCAATCATTCATAAACCTTCCCTGGGGTCCCTAGATGTCCCACAAAAAATTTGGGCCCGATCGGTTCAGCCGTTTTGACGTTTATTGGATACAAACAGACAGACAGACAAACAGACAAGCCAAATTTATATATAGATATTCTAGACTGAATAAATATAAAATATATCCTAGTCTGAATAAAATAAATAATATATCCTAGGCTGAGGAAAATATAAAATATATCCGAGACTGAATAAATATATAATATATCCTAGTCTGAATAAAATATAAAATATATCCTAGTCTGAATAAAATATAGAATATATCCTAAACTGAGTAAACTTTAAGAATCGTCTGCGCACAGGTTTAAGATAAAAAGTTCTTTAGCTATAGTTTATATATAGTTTTTATGAAACTATTCTGTACTTTATCATTCTTACTCACTTCATTGTGAATTTCATAATGAACGTACTATAAAGTAATCATCGTGCTATAAAGTTAAATTAGCTGTACACTATAGCACGTGTGCTGTAAAGTTTTGATTGGTTCCCGGATTTTCTCAAAAAAAATCTAGGATATTTCAAAAATAATTTTTTTCAGTTGAAATGAAAATAAAATTGAAATCAACTTTATTTTTTTTACTTCTGCTTTGTTTCAAAGCTTATTTGATCTATAGAAATAGCCATTGAAATAAGACAAGTACACAAACGTTTCAAAAAATGACCTATGACATTATCATTTTGACACGACGTGTTATTAAGTTTTTGGACTTCAGTTTTCTCTATATATATCTCGAAGGTTCTCGCCTTTTATGATTATATTAAAATTAAATCTAAAAAGGCTTGAACCTTCTCGAAGAAGAGTAAATTTCTGTCCAAAAACATTATAACACTGCGAACCAAAATAAAAGTGTTATCTGTAGTTTATCTATAGTTTATCTAAATTATCTCATTAAACCGATTAAAAACTATTTTACAAAGGCAAATGATTTATGTCCATATTTAGCTGAAATTTCCGTTTCATTATTCTCAAATCATGGATTGCAACCATTGCAAAATTGAGGAAATTTTAAATAAACAATGGTTGGTAAATGGACTGTAAGTGTAATATGGCCATCCATGAAAAGATTGCTATGCTCGATTTACAACGGATCCCTTGAAATCTGTATCCGGTAAATAATATTGAATAGGTTAAAACGTGATTAATTCTGCAGATAAGACCTATATGTTTTCCTGCAGTAGAAATGCGCATTGTGCAAGTCACTTTTAGTAAAGAAACCACAAAAGTAATCATAATTTTCAAAATTATAAACATTGATATATAATTTATACTTGATTAGACAAAGCTTTTATAGAGGTACCGTTGTGAATCAGGCATTGTCATCATTGCATAGAGGGTAACTTAAATTACGCTTACAGTCCCTTTCCAAATATTTTAGAGTTGTTTACAACTAGGCTTAACTAAATCGGTGGAAGTTTAAGGTTTAGTTTAAAAATTAAAGAAAAAAAAGAATATCAGTGTAAAAATCCTAGAGAACAATTGATATTTTCACTCGGATAAGTCATTCATTTTAACAGTTATTCTTTAAGCTAAATGAATGATTTATTTTGAAATTTGTCTGAAGCTTTTATGTTTTGCTCTCTTTTCGTTAGATCACAAACGGACACGGTTTCTCTAAAAAGTTTGTGAAGGTTTTATAAAATGGGAAATGCTAAACTATTTGACCAGCCTGTATGGGATTTCTTTATTTTATCAAGTATAATGGGCAATCACTTGATTCGTGTTTTTTTTTTAAACTTTAAAAGTTTTTAGACTTTTAATAAGAAGGACTGGTAAGGTTCCAACATTTACATGTTTTCGTTTTCCTTGTTATATTTGACACTTGTGACGTCGTGTATAATTGATCCATTTCTCTGTTGCCACCATTTGCACTTGATAATCTATTTGGTATTATCTACCTATAGATGTGGTAGAGTTCCTACTAGTTGTTGTTGAAGCAGCACTACTAGCTGTAGATTCATGACCAGGAGAATCACGTCCAGGAGACTAAACAAGACATAATAATAATAATAATAATGATAATAATAACAATAATAATAATAATGATAACAACAATAATAATAATGATAACAATAATAATAATAATAATAGACAGATAGATAGATATATTTATAGATAGATAGATAGATAGATAGATAGATAGATAGATAGATAGATAGACAGATAGATATATATATATATAGATAGATACCCCCGACGTATATCTAATTATACCAATTGGCTCCACCCATCTGATTAAACTGTTTTAATAAACTCCAGCTGCCAATGATTTATATATTTACTGTTACTCCTTCATGGACCCATTGGATATATAACAAAGTTCTCGACCATCTTTAAAGGGACTGTAACCATAACCTTCATTTACAACGATACCCTTGAAACCTTAATCTGATCAAAATTTTTTTACAATTGGGGGCAAATGGGGGCAAATGTGTTAGTGAAATTTGAAATTCTATTTTAATTGGGGGCATTTTTTCCCAATTTGGGGAAAATTTGCCCCCAGCAAACGTGTTTGTGGAATATAAAAATGTTTTTTTAATTAGGGGCATTTTTTACAATTGGGGGCAATTTTTTCCCAATTTGGAGCAAATGTGTTAGTGGAATTTGAAATTTTATTTTAATTGGGAGCATTTTTTTTTAAATTGGGGGCAATTGGGGGCAACTTTTGTCAGTGGAATTTGAATTTTTTTTTAATTGGGGGCATTTTTTTAAAAGTTGGGGGCAAAAAATTATTTTGGGATCGAGAAAATCAGCTATTTTGGGAATTATATGGACCCCTGATGTAAGGTTTTATTTGAGACATATAAAACTTTTTAAAGATCTGTAAATCCTGAGTTTGAGCGCAAATTCGACGTTCAAAACTCCTACTTTGGGGGTGGATACGTTTTAGGAATTGGTTTTTTTTAAATCATTAAATAACGACAACGAAAAATAAAGTAAAAATTATACAGTAATCTAATTAGATGGTTAGGAACATATTTTTCAACAGAAATTTGTCAATAAATCAAAGCTAAAATAAATTATTTCGTTTTCATTATTATATTGAATTTCTTATTTCTTTGAATTTATTAGCAGATTTCTTCAAATCCTTCAAATGTCGTCTTTTCAATAATAATTCTAGAAAATCTGAAGAAAATCCTTGTGAATAATGAGAAACCAGAATAATGAGAAAATAGAAACTAATAATGGAACAAGATTGAAACAAGGACGACATAAATTCAGGTTTTTTTTACTGTAAGGGCGAATTTTAGGTTTAGACCATTTTCCTTTGGAGACAAATAAATAGAAAAAAATAGTTAGATCCATTTTCTAAAGAAAATCAAGTGCTTTTTTGTCGCTAGAGGGGGTTCTCAGAAGTTCACACTTTTATAGTTTAAAACATTGTAAATAAAAAAAAACATATTTTCGAAAAAGTTACCTCTACGCTAGCAACAGTGATAGACTGAGGAAATGAACTGCTGAGTGATCTCAGTTTTTTTCTAAAATTTTCATAATTTCTTAATTCCACAATTTGTATTACTTTAATAGTTTTGTTATTTTCCAAAATCTAAAATTTACACTCTATCCTTTAAATGTCATCAAACTTCCATCTTTAAAGTTTTCTTCAAATTCTTGAGGATGAGAATTAAAGAAAATATTTTGAAAGTAGAATCATCATCTTCGATTTTTCTTTGATCCAGCACTCTATCTCTGATGGTGTTATTACTTTTACTCGCAACCCAGAGTGTAAAAATTGTTCAATGCCTGCTCATTTTTGAAAATTGATGACACCTAATTTTAATAAATATGGTGATGAGAGAATTTCAAAAAGTACGTTTAAACTTTTTTCTATAATTTCGAAAAAAACATTTATTAGCAGCCTTTTTTTAGATCTTAAATCTTAGATCTTTGGCAAAAAAAAAAGAAAAAAGTTGTTAACTGCTTGCAATTTTTTTAAATACTTTTGACCGTACTCTACCCAACCTTATGCAATTAAAATTGTTTGCAAAATTTGTTTTTAATTTTTAATTGAAAACGTGGAGAAGTTTGAGCGTTCTAGTGCCAGCCGTTTTCAAGTTATGGAGAAAATCCACAGGGAATAACCCCCCCCCCCCCACTGGAATAGGGTTAAAGATGCCTGAACAAGAAAGTTTTAAATATTTGGACTTGCTTATTTTGTGTGACAAATTTTTAAATGATGAGAAAAATATGCTGCCAATCAAATTTGATGTTTTTAAGCTCAATAAACCATAACTTCCTGCACTACATTTACATTGGAATTGTATCGTACTAGAAATTAGAAACAAATTAAAAAGAAATTTTGAAAATGACAAAGATTATGGTAACTTTCCTTAGAGGAACAATTGGTGGTTCAACAGGTTTAAGACCCCTAATCTGTCCTTTGGGAGGTACTTGAACAACACTTGGAGGTCCTTGAACTAGTCCAGGAGGTCCATGACAACTCAGCTTACCTAAAAAAATAAAAGAAAGATTAGAAAATTTAAAAGGTAAATTATTTCAAAAATTGCTGCAGACTTTAGTTTTCCCAAAGCATTCAAAGACGACCCTAATAAAACCATTATGTACAATAAGTTTGGCATTTGAAAAAAAAGTGACATGCAGGCAGTTGGTGTAAAAGCCCTGCTGAAATGAGGCCAATATTTTTTTTAGTTACCTAAAAATCAAGGTGAGGGGGGGTTCCCTTTTGTAACATTATAAGTTTCTGAATCGTGGCATATTACCAAAATGTGAATACAACATATGATTAAAAAAGAAAATGTGCGAAAAAAGCATTGTAATTCATCTCTTGTGTTCGCCTACGCAAGTCCCTTGTTTCTCCTACGCAAAAAAAATACTTTAATTACTTAAAGGGACTGGTTGTAAAAATATTTTTATTTAAAGGGACTGGTTGGAAAAATAATATTATTTAAAGGGACTTGTTGGAAAAATACTATTACTAAGAGGGACTGATTGAAAAAATACTATAAGTACTTAAAGGGACTGATTGCAAACCCATTTTAATTACTAAAGAGACTGATTGGAAACCCATTTTAATTACTTAAAGGGACTGATTGGAAAAGTACTTTAATTACTTAAAGGGACTGATTGGAAAAATACTTTAATTACTTAAAGGGACTGATTGGAAAAATACTTTAATTTCTTAAAGGGACTGATTGGAAAAACATTTTAATTTCTTAAAAGGACTGATTGGAAAAACATCTTAATTATCTACTTATGGGGACTGAAAAATACCATAAACTTTATAATTACTTAAAAGAACTATTTGAAAAAATATTTTAATTACTTAAATGGACTGATTGGATGATATGGGGAAAAAAGAGGATTCCGATGTTAACATAAACTTCTAAACACACGTTAAGTTAAAGTAAACTTCATTTTAACCGCAAATTTTACATGTTTTTAATCACAATTTCTCTTATAAAACAGTTAAATTTAAAAAAAAATAATTTACTGCCTGGCATAAAAGCGAGTAAATTTGGCGTACTCGTGCAAAATCAAAACTTGAGGAGACACGAGGTCGCAAAGTCTTCTCAGCAATGTCGCATAAATTTGACTTTCTCTTTCTGTCTATTTGTAGAGTTTGAACAAGAAAAATGCAGAACATTATTTAGTATTGAATATCTGTTTAAAAAAATATTAGATCCCCTGTACATTCCCTTAATATCTGAACAATCTCTTTACGAGGGCGTAACTATGGCAATTAACTACACAGAGCTTCAATAAACAAAAACAAACAACAAAGGTCAGTTTTCCACCAAAAATACCAAAACAAAAAATAACTAAAATCAAGAAAAATACTTTTTTTGAATTAGTTATCAGTTAAAATTTAAATAAAAATAAAATCATGCAATTAATAACAAAATATGATAAAAACATTTAGTATTTTAGGTTTAGAGGCACAAAGATCTATTCTATGTTTTTATTACCCCCCCCCCCTGTCTGTCCCATTAACTGACACCACCCTCCCTCTAATGATTGTTATTATATCCTCATGAATCCTGATTATGAATTCCATTTATGGAAATATCTCATTCAAAAATATAATTTCTCACACCTGTTGGAAACCTAAACTTGGTTTACATTTTTAGTTTGAAAAAACTAGGCGTATTGCATGGGGTGTGTGAGTTTAATATGACCATGTGTGCACGCTCCGGTTTAGATTACGCGCTCTGTGCTCAAGATCAGGTGTTATATCTATAACATGCAAGAAGCGATAGAACATGTGTGCTCTCCTCTAAATTAAGTGTTCCTAAAAACCGGCTGCAAACATGTAAAATGTATGTCTTTAGTTACTTTTTAGTGGGAATACATGCGGCGTTACTTCTAGAATTATGTATTTAGTTACAATTTATACTTAAAAAGTATTTAATTCTGATTATTCCCATATTGTATTCCAGCAGCAGAAATGTGCACAGTGCAAGTCACTGTTATAGAGAAACCACAGTTTAAAAAAATAAGTTTTTTTATGATTATAAAAACAAATTTATATTTTATAGTTATTGTTTGATCAGACAAACCTTTTAGGGGTACCATTGTAAATGTGACATACCAGTCTATAGTTTAGGGGTACCATTGTAAATGTGACATGCCAGTCTATAGTTTAGGGGTACCATTGTAAATGTGACATTGCCAGTCTATAGTTTAGGGGTACCATTGTAAATGTGACATGCCAGTCTATAGTTTAGGGGTACCATTGTAAATGTGACATACCAGTCTATAGTTTAGGGGTACCATTGTAAATGTGACATACCAGTCTATAGTTTAGGGGTACCATTGTAAATGTTACATGCCAGTCTATAGTTTAGGGGTACCATTGTAAATGTGACATGCCAGTCTATAGCTTAGGGGTACCATTGTAAATGTGACATGCCAGTCTATAGTTTAGGGGTACCATTGTAAATGTGACATGTCAGTCTATAGTTTAAGGGTACCATTGTAAATGTGACATACCAGTCTATAGTTTAGTGGTACCATTGTAAA